GTGTGAAATAGTTGCTTCAAGCGCCGTGGCACGCTGCGGTGCGGCAGGCGGGCAGCCAGCGCTAAACGCGCATTGGCGCCTACAAACCTAACAGGGATACTTCACGCATTGCGCAATGCGTGAAGTATCCCTGTTAGGTTTGTAGGCGCCAGTGCGTCGCCGCTCCGCTTTGTGTTAGGCTCTAATATTTAATCTGGCGGAGTCAGCGTTATTCGACTCATGATTTTGAAATGTTTGCACATCCTGTATGGATTATTCTCGTTTTAATTGATGAAAAAAAATATTATTAAAGAAAAATATAACGTGTGTTTTGTAAATATTAAGGTGGTTCCGTATCAAACTTAATGATTTCCAAAGCACACAAATTTCTACACAATTTCTTATAGCCTTTTATAATCGATGGCGAAAAAGCAACAGCCAGGCGATAAAGTGTAAAGCCCGGCGATAGGAACTATAGCCCGGCTGCATAATTTTTTATCGCTTCGTATAGCCCGGCCGTATAATTCTCTCCGCATTCTACAGCCAGCTATATGATTTTCTGTAGCCTTCTTTAGCCGGCTATAAGAATTCCTATGGTATTTTGAAACGCAGCTCTTATCGCCAATTTTTACCGGGGTACTGCCGTTCTGGACACAACGCAATCGCAAACGGATTACATTTGGGGGATACGATCGTTTTGTTTAAAAAAAACTTCATTCTCCGAAAATGGGGAAAAAACTCTTAGGCATGATCGGTACATTTCAGATGGGTCCGTTACCTTTGTCCATTGCAACCACCCGCTTCCACCTTTGGAATCTCCCTGACCGCTGGGAGAGGTGGCTCAAGAATTATGCTCTTTTTCCACCGAGACGGATATTCAATGTTAAACGACGATTAAAGAGCAATTTTGGCAGAATCGCTTGGTTAAGATAAAGAATAGTCTTCCGTTAAAAACTCAAATTTTGAGGATTTAGCGGTACGCCCTTCTTCGAGTAACCCGGTTCAAATAAGATTCTACCGTCTAAACGGCATAGTCAAGTTCGAACCCTCAAAATCGTTCGGAAGACTAACCGGCAACGACGATTGCAGTGGCGTGGCGTGCTTTGCGATATATCGATTGATCTGCCATTTAAACCTATGGAAAAGGATCGATTATCAAGGTGTTCGCAGCGAACACCTTGATAACCGATTCTTTACCACAGCTTCAAATGGAGAAATATCGATAGCCGATCATTCACGCCACGCCACTGGACGATTGTGACACCGCATATGCGACGACAGTGTGTCACTGTGACATCTGGCGGGCGACAAACAGTTTCCTCTTCCCATGCTCAAGATTTCGTCACTAGAAATGATGGTAAGCCCCAGACGCACAGTTCCAAGGCCTCCTGACGCACCACCACGGAACCACGATGCGATTACGCAATACAGGTTCTTCCATTTGCGCCAGGATGGAACTTTGATCTTTGGCGATATTTTAATGTGAATCGACACCTGTCTTCATCTACCCTTCAGAAATCGAACCAAGCGGTACCTTTGTTACTGGTTGTACTTTCAAACTTTACCCAAAAATGGAACGACTAGTTAACTACGCCAAAATTCAGTACGTCCTCAGCGGAAAAGTTCAGTACATTTTCAGTACCTCCAACTGACAAAATTCGAAAAATTTAAAACATTTGAATTGCTCGCTCAAATTGCGACAAAAATGACAAAAGAAATTTAAAAAATTCCGGGCCTATTTGCGGAATTTCCGCATTTATTCAGTGCTTCCGGACCGCTCTGAAAAAATCAGTACTATTTCCGGACTTGTAGACACCCTGTTGGCAGTGTTCGAAACTCACAGGCGCCAACGCGCCAAATGCGCCTAAAAAATCGGCCATGGCGCCTAAAAAATGATGGCTCTGCGCCAACGTGGCCCCTAAAAATCTGAATTTTCATATTAGGTGATTATTCGAAATTTTCAGCACTACAAGTGAAAGCTTTTTCTATTCCTTACGACTTCATCCTTCGTGCTTTTGTCTTCCCCGAGTTACAGCTACTTACTAGTTCTGTTACGAAAACATCTTGCGTCTAACTTTTCACTAAATGTGCCGTAATATAGAGGCAAAAAGTCAATTTGGCCCCTAAAAAATCTTCAACGGCGCCTAATAATCCGGCTTGATCCGGCACATGGCTCCTAAAACTCAAAGGTGAGATTCGAACACTGCCTGTTGATGTAATCTGTATTCGCGTTTGTGGCAGCCATGAACCGCGTTGTCTCAACCCTTCCTATGAGAGGACACTGGAAAAAAAAAAAACACATTGGATCTAGAATCCAGACTCTTAAAAACATCGACAAGAAAAAATACTCTTGATTCAATCAGATTTTTGCTGAAATCAAAAGTAAATCCGCTCAAATTAAGAGGCTTGGTTCTTGATTTAAGCAAAAATCCGATTGAATCGAGAGTATTTTTTCTTGTCGATGTTTTCAAGAGTCTGGACTCTAGATCCAATGTGTTTTTTTCCCAGTGATAAAGGGACTCTAAAGGAAATGTGCTGGGTTTTCGGCATTATCTGACAATAATGCAGAGCGTTGGTCCAGTCCGGCAACGGGAGGTGTGGGTTATAAAGGAGCGACGCGACGGACGAGGCCGGGGCGGCCACGACCGCAACCGTGGCGTCGCGGCGCGGCATTTGGCGCAACTTTCTATTGTTTCGCAGGAGCGCGTCCCGGCGCCCCGCTGTCCCACCGCCGCCACCCGGCCCCCGCCCCCGCCGACACCGACGCCGCTAGGTCGGGGAGCTTTATGGACTGCGCGCGGCCGATAAATAATCGGGGGCCGCAACCGCAACCGCCTTCTCCGATACCTCACCGCCACGCTCCCTCGGCTCAATTCCCGATCCGATGCCTTGATCCCTCGCCAACAGCCAACTAGAGTGTATCTCAGAGAAAGTATTCACGCGGGTCCCATGGAGACCCTTACCCTTAGGAATCACACAGATGGTCAAAACAAGAGCATGCAGTAAGGGAGAGGAGGAGAAAAACAAGGGGGGGGGGACGGGAAACAAGGCTGAAATCAATCGAAAAAAAGGACAATGGAGAATGGAGATGTTGCATGTGTGAGGAATTTGCGATTTGACTACTAATTCTGAAAAAACAACTCATTTGGTATGGTCATGTCCAAATAATGGCAGGAGACAGGTTGCCGAAGAAGGTCCTTGACTGGGTTCCTCCTGGGAGAAGACGCAGAGGGCGCCCAATGAAAGGTTGGAGGGAAGGGATTGAAGCGGAACTGTTAAGGTGCTCAATCTCCCAAGATTTGTGGTTTGAAAGAGAGCAGTGGAGGTTAGGAGTCGTAGAGCGCGAGGGAGTGCTGTAAAGCGACTCATATGTATGTATGTATGTACTACTAATTCTTATGTAAAAGTTTGCGAGAAACACGATGGTGCCACTGGTTTTCTCTGAAATCAACTCCCAAGCTCAAAAAAAGCTCTCAAGTTGAGGCCAAAACGGAGGGGATATCCCACGCTATCCCGAGAGTCCACCTCTACATCAAGACAAACTCTCCATGCAAAGAAAGGGAGTATAAATACATTAGCAGGGTTGCCGGGTCTTCAGTTGTGGAGTCCTCAAATAAGGGGGCAGCCCTGTCAATGTATTTGCTCCCTATCTTTGCATGGAGAGTTTGTTTTGATGTAGAGGTGGACTCTCAGGGTAGCGTGGGATATCCTCTCCATTTTGGCCTCAACTTGAGAGCTTTTTTTGAGCTTGAGAGTTGATTTCAGATAGAACCAGTGGCACCGTCGTATTTCTCACGAACTTTTACATAATAATCAGTAGTCAAATCACAAATTCGTCACACATGCAACATCTCCATTTGCAGGTGTCTGAAATTTGATGAAACCTGTGTTTGAATGGACGCTACCAAGTGAGCTGCGAGCACGAGGATACCCCTGGTTCATAAATTGGACAATTATTGGAGGAGATATGACAAAATGATTTAATCTGCATAAATACATGCGTTTAAGTGGGAAATGCCGCCAGTTGACGTTGCTAGGCGGCACAATTTCTCACTTTAAAATCTATTTTTATACTATTTCCCATAGCCGGAAAAAATCATACAAAATACTGCGAAATTAGCTCTTTAGGCACTTTTAGATGAAGCGATAAAAATTTGCGTGCAAATTCTCCATTAGCAGGTTGGCAGATTCAGTTGTTTTAAAAAGTGAATGCAATGTTTCAATCGTACATTTTACAATAGTGGAAAGCTAATTTAACCAGGGGGATGGTAAAATTAGCATTTTCTTAATTGTAAAATATACATTTTTTTTACTACAAAATTGTTAAATCAGCAATTTGATTTTTCCCAAGCATCCAATTCATCTACTCTACACTAAAATCTCTGAGTCAGCGGAAAAGAGACCAAGATCTTTTTCAATAGTGTAAACAGGCGAGAAATTTCTGTTGCTTAATAATTGTGCCCGGATTTGTAAAGAGGGACCTCATCTTACGGAAGGACATTTCCGAAACTTTGGACACATTGCATGCGCGAAAAACGATCGCGGGTAGCGCCTGCAAAACCGTACGCATACTTCAAGCATCACACCATCTGTCTCGACCGATTCTAGTCCCCCTCTCGAGGCTCGATTCCTGAAGTCTTGACTTGCGAATCGCGCTAAGTTCCGATGTACGCGCGCTGTTTGGAAATGTGTAGGGTAGGGCAGTCGGCGCACAGCCGTACACAACGTCTGAAAGTGTAAGCAAAAATGGAGCGCATTTTTATCATAACTCATTAAATTTTACATCATCCATTATTCAAAGTCGTAGCCTACGCAATTTTCCCTCTACGCAGTTTGCGAACGACCGATCGATCGTTAGTTCGTGAACATTCTGCGCCCTGCTCTCTTATTGAGGCAGCCGTGTGACCTCGCGTAAGTTATAAGCGGCAGTTTAGAAACAAATATTAAGTCCCTAAAATTAGAAATAATATATGAAGAATGGACGATGACAAAGCGATGTAAACACAAATTTGGATACTTACAGTGAATCAAGGTCACGAGCAGAGCGACAGCCGTCCATTCCATTTTAAGCGTCAGACCTGAAACAATGGAACAAAAACGATTAGTTCACGAGGATGCGATACAAACTTCAGGGACGAGTGTAACCTGAAAAAGAAGTTCGGGCCAAGTCGAGGAATCACCAACAATAAGTCACAATTTATTGTAATCTTCCGTCGCATTTCTACGGCGCAATGATACAACTATTTGAACTCTTCGGAATGCGCGAGGTATCACGCCGCATTTGAAGGCGTTTTCAAAACAGCCAAGTTCCGATACCCGGATGATCGTTTTGCATGGTTACCATGATTATGTTTTATTTCCTACCATTTGTTTGTTTTCAATCCTCCTATAAAAACTACTCATTTGCTGAATACACTCCTGGCTGCACTGAGAAAAAACTATGGTTTATAAACCTATTAGAGGTAAATATGGAACACCTATAATAGTCGTAAATAAACTAATGATTCTCGGTCTGTGAACCATACTAAGGTCTCTGTACCTAATTAAGGTACCCCATACCATAACTAAGGTATATGTGCTATTATTATATGTAGAGGTACTACTATTAGTGGTGTTCCATATTTACCTCTAATAGGTTTATAAGCCATAGGTTTTTCTCAGTGTGGAGCGCACTTCAGCTATGCATTCACCACTGCAAATATGTCAAAGGAAATCGACAAAGCCAGCGTGTATAAGGCTATTTCGATTGTAATCTTCCGTCGCATTTCTAAGGCGCAATGATACAACTATTTGAACTCTCCGGAACGCGTGAGGTATCACGCCGCATTTGAAGGCGTTTTCAAATCAGCCAAGTTCCGATACCCAGATTATCGTTTTGCATAGTTCCTCTTATTATGTTTCATTTCCTACCATTTGTTTGTTTTCAATCTAAAACTATAAAGGAGAGGCCCCAATTTTGTACCCAATGTTTCAGCGACTTCCCGAAGGCGGATTTCCTTGAAACTTTGTACGCATGTGCGGTTCGTGCTGAAGGGGTGCAATTCGTCGTCCGATTTTCGAAATTTTGATTCTAAGGGTTGAAAACACGCTAAAAAAGGGTGACTCGTGTGTTAGAGCGGTGTTCCGCGATCGATCGTCGCCGTCTGGTCGTCGTGGTTTCCCTTCTTCTATTGCGTCTATCAGCTGTTTTTTCTGTCTAATTTTGGAGATTCCGAACCGGAGCAGTGTTGCCGAAATCACGAAATCTGTAATTTCACGTTATATTTTCATATGTGTTAAGAATGTTCTGCGTTCATTCTTGAAAGTTGATGTAATTAGAGGATTGTAAATTGTTCGTTCTCGGTCACCTGATGACTCGGCTGCCCGAGGCGTTCGTCGTCATGGATATTCGTCGTTTATGAAGAATTCCGATTTTTTCGTACAGTGCGCGTCGTCTTTTGAATTTTGTCAATATTTGTCGTGTATGAAGAATCCCGGATTTTTAGTAAAGTACGCGTATTCGTTTTAATATTGAGAATGGATCGGAGTCGAAAACGTGGGTGTCCGGCGAAGCGTGGCAATGTTTCTCGCAATCAAGACCAATCCACACAGGTCAGTCATTGCGCAGCTTTTTTGAAATCCACTCCCCCGCCCGGCCCTAACTCGCAGCACTCATTGTGACGTACTATTGAGTGCTCCCATAAGAAATACATTGTATGCACTCAATACTACGTCACTGCGCAGTAGAGTACCAAAATTCGTCCTCGGGAATGACTAACCTGTGTGGATTGGTCTTGCTCGCAATTTATCCGCGCGACGCAAAGTGCGGCATGATGGCTATCTCAGTGAGATAGATAATGTACGACGTAGGGGTGAACAGGGAAATAACCTCAATTCATTTCGGCAGAGCACTGATAATATTATCGAAAATGATTATCCGGAAAATAATTTCGGACTTTTAAATCTGAAGTGCCAGTATTGTGATGGAAAAATTATTGAAATTTTATTTTTCCATCGAGAAGCTGGTCAACATAAAACTTAAATTCTCCATGATTTTTCGTATTCGATAGCAGCAAATTTGGTTCAAAATTTAAAGTCGTAAATTTGGAGTGTTTCTCATGGAAGAGATGATTTAAGAACGGAAATTTTGAAACACCGCAACGGATATACGTGGTTTCGCACTTCAGTCGTGCGATACGGACATCTATCAAGTTTAAAAAAATGCATCAAGTCCCCGTCACCGCCGACCAACGCGTTTATCGATCGAATCAACCACAGGTAGTATGAGCAGGGGGTCAAAACGCCTTCAATTTTCTGAACGCAATACGGACATCCGTCGAGGCTGTATAGTTGTATCAAGGCGCCGTAGCAAACGCGTCCCATTGTTTTTCGTCACAGACGAATATAAGTTGAGAGAGGCCAGTCATGATGCCATCAATTTTATACATACATATTTTTGGGCAAAATGAGAGACGACGTTTCTTCTTTTGCGACGTTGCAGACTTCCTTTGAAATTTTATTTTCCTTTCGAGAAGCTGGTTAACAAAAAAACTTAAATTCTCCATGATTTTTCGTATGCGATTGCAGAAGATTTGGTTTAAAATTTATAGTCGTAAATTTGGATTGTTTCTCATGGAAGGGATGAATTAGGAACGGGAAATTTTGAAACACCGCAATGGAGATACGTGGTTTCGCACTACAGTCGGTGCGATACGGACATCCATCAAGTTTAAAAAAATGCATCAAGTCCCCGTCACCGCCGACCAACGTGTTTGTCGATCGAATCAACCACAGGTAGTATGAGCAGGGGGTCAAAACGCCTTCAATTTTTTGAACGCAATACGGACATCCGTCGAGGTTATATAGTTGTATCAAGGCGCCGTAGCAAACGCGTCTCGTTGTTTATCGTTACAGACGAATATAAGTTGAGAGAGGCCAGTTCTAATGCCTTCAATTTTATACATACATATTTTTGGGCAAAATGAGAGTCGACGTTTCTCCTTTTGCGACGTTGCAGACTTCCTTAGAAATTTTATTTTTCTTTCGAGAAGCTGGTCAACATAAAACTTAAATTCTCCCTGATTTTTCGTATTCGATAGCAGAAGATTTGGTTCAAAAATATATGAGCTTTGGAAGCAGACAGAGATGCGAAAGCCATACAACTGTTGTCCCTCAAAATGTTGGTCATGAAAATGGGTTTGGAGAAGAGGTCGCGAAGTTGGTCATTGATTCCAGGCTCAACAAGACTGAGAAGACCATTATGACAACATCTGTTAAAATGGCCGTTCACCTCCTCTTTTTTGAAATGCAAGGCATCACAATACTGGCACTTCACATTTAAAAGTCCGAAATTATTTTCCGGAATAATTTAATTTTTCAAGAGTATAAATTTAAATTGTTATTAAATGATGATAAATTCAAAATTCCAATTCCAATTTCCAAAATTTCAGAGCATGTTATATCTTCTTTCAAAATTTATTGTCAATTCAAGTTGCTATTCAATTAAAATAAATTACTTAACTACTTTTTTAGGTCTAGCGCAAGATCTCAAAATGTCTGTCACACGTATGATTTTATATTTTTTAAGTTTATTCTTTTTTATGATTTTTCATTTAATATTTTTAGTGTAGAGCAACATCTCAAAATTTGCCTTTTTTATTTATTGAAATTAATAAATACATCTTCTTACAACAGTTATTTATTTTTTAATTTCAAGACTGCTGGGTCTATAAATTACTACCATATTTACGAAATTGATACTCGCAAACATGTTTTTTGTTTTCGCTGATGGGTACAACAACAGCCCCCATATGTAAAAATATTTTGTAGCTTCTGAATAATTATATTAAAAAATATAAATATGGGCATAATAGGTATAGTAAAATATATTAATACAAAAGTTATTGTTATAACATGGTGTAATTTCATTAATGACGGTTCATCACCGTGCGAAGCACGGGTTGGTTGCTAGTCCTCCTATAAAAACTACTCATTTGCTGAATACACTTCTGGCTGGAGCGCATTTTAGCTATGCATTCACCACTGCAAAAATGTTAAAGGAAATCGACAAAGCCAGCGTGTATAAGGCTATTTCGATTGTAATCTTCCGTCGCATTTCTAAGGCGCAATGATACAACTATTTGAACTCTCCGGAATGCGTGAGGTATCACGCCGCATTTGAAGGCGTTTTCAAAACAGCCAAGTTCCGATACCCGGATTATCGTTTTGCATAGTTCCTATTATTATGTTTTATTTCCTACCATTTGTTTGTTTTCAATCCTCCTATAAAAACTACTCATTTGCTGAATACACTTCAGGCTGGAGCGCATGGGGAACTTGTTTGGCTCATGACGTCACTCGACGCTCATCAGCCACCATAGGGGTAGGTCAACAGCCGAAATTAGGATGATGACTGTTGCTCCCATATAATTTTCCATAAGGAATTGTTGAATCCCCGAAAGTAAAAGCTACCACCGGTCGCCAAGAGGTTAGTGGAGGGGTCTTGTCTCTGCCGAGGAGCAATAGATGGCCGCGGGTGCGGGTGGTACTAGAAATGAAAATGGATTCACTTTAAATGTAATCCGAGTTGAGAGCGGCGATTGCTCAATGAGTGCTCAAATTACCTTTGTTGCGAGGAATCGGCGAATACGGTGAATACAGTGAAAGGAAGGTATCCACGCAACGCGAAACGCGCAACGAGGGATGCCCGACGCGAGACGAAACGAAAGGACTCATACTCGCACGCGCGCCGAGTCAAGCGCCAACTCCCGGAGAAAGTTGCCAAATTGTGCGATATGTGTATAAATCATTTGAGTTTAAATTGACTAAAGTCACCATTTTTCTGCATTATCTAGCGACAAATTGTCCTGAGTCTCCCGCGTCGCCAGCCACTACACGCAAGGACGCGGCACGCTAGACGTGCGTCTAGCGATGGCCATTTTCCAAAAAAAAAAGATCGATTATAATGAATCGAGTCGTCTTCGACTTAAAATTAGCCTGGCTTTTCCTTGAAATCGATTTCTTCCATTTTTGCGGTTGTAATTATGAGAAATATCCAACATGCCGTCATTGCCGTGACGTTTTCAAAATTTTCCAAAAA